ACTCCTGGCACTGGTGGCTTGTTGTTGAACTCTTTCATGATATCAAGGAGTCCTACACAGAAGCCGAACCCTCCCAAATTGCAGCCTTGTTGAAGTCCGCGCTGTGAAAGAACAACATCTCGAACCATCTTCCATTTCGAACAGAAGTTTCGCCTTGGTTCGAGCGTAGATGTTCCCGAAATACGCTCGAACTGATTTGCTGCTTCGCGAAGATGTTAGCAACCCCTCCCTTTTACTGGCGGCAGAAGCTGCCGCTGATGATGCGACGCAAAACCCCTCAAACTGCAATCGGCCGTTTTTGATCGATAATTCGGGTGGCTCAGTTGTGTGTGATGGAGCAGCTCGGCCATGACAGGCCGTAGGGGTAGGTAAAATCGTGCAGACGTGTTGAAAAACGTGTTGTATTCATCGGGGGCGTGCTTGAGCTCGTCATTCCATCACAGCATCAAGTTACGCATAACGCTTAACACCCAAAACGAATCTCCATGAATCTTCACCAATCTACCACACTCCCAACGAAAACATAAAGAAACTCCTTGTTCCTCCTTAGTTCGTCACTGCAAATCCCGCATATGTATACGCAATATACCACCCCTATGCTATGCTACGAGTATATCGAATAGCCCCCCTGCTCGTTTGCATCGTCATGCTCCGGCAAAATGTCAAAGTCATCCATCCGTCTCATACCAGTGCATCCCAAAACACAATCAAAACCAAGACAAAATTCGAAATCCCAACACCAAAACAATACGTCCGAAAATAATCAATCGCATACCAACTCTTCCAAATCACCAAGAAAAATCCCAAACACTAACTCTCCAAAACACTACCATCTCCACTTGACTCTATCCATCTCTTGTTCAAACCCGTACATATCTTCTCTCTTCCACTCCACGGCAAAACACGATTTGATCCCAAAACACCATCACGAAGTCTCTGTGCAACGCAAAAGTTCCTTGCTGATAGCCTTCGTCAAGAAATCTGCATGCTGAAACTCCGACGTCACATGCATAATCGAAATCTCCTTCCTCTCTACCAGTTCCCTGATCGGGTTGTGCGCAATCTGAATCGCTCCCTGATTATCCTCAAGGTCGGAATGCACGGCATACCTGCATCTGGCAACATAAAACGCCAAACCTGCCTCAAGAAAAGCACTTCCTTCAAGACGTCGGCAATTGCCACATACTCTGCTTCCGTTGTGGAGAGCGTGACGCACTTCTGCGTCCTCGAAAACCAAGTCACACACCCACCCCCACACATCACTAGTCCTCCTGAGACCGACCTACGGTCTGCTGCCTTGCTTGCATAGTCGGCTTCCACAAACACCTGCATGCTCATGCCAGTGACCACTCCCCTCTCAAATGTAATCCCCATCCAACTCGTCCTACGCACGTACCCTAAAATACCAAGTGCTGCCTTCCAGTGCACCATCTTGGGAGACGCGCAATACCGCGCTACTGCTCGTACTGCATTCGCGATGTCCGGCCTGGTTTGAGTGGCCAACCACATCAGGGATCCTACCAACTCGCGAAACGGGACATCAGCACACGCTTCGTTCTCGTCAAAGTCGGTGAGCTTCACGCTCACAGACAAGGGCACACTCTGCCCCCACTCTACGCCGTACTCTGCAGCCAACTCTTCTGCAAACCTTTGCTGCAAGATCCTCAAAAGGCCCCTCTCTAGATCTCTCTGGGAAAAGCACGCGGAGTACCACCTCAACTCCCCAAGGTTTTTCACGTTCACGGGGGGGACCATCTCGTTGAGGTCACTGCCAAACTTGTCAGATCTCTCCTGCCCTACGCAAAAATGTCATCCACGTGGACCACAATGATCATGATCACACATCCATTCTCCATCAATCGAAAAACACATGCATCCGCCAAACATTGCACAAATCCTAAAAGTAACAAACACCTCGTCAGGTGCGCATGCCATTGTCGTGATGCCTGCTTCAAACCGTACAGACTCTTGCATAGTTTCACGATCAGTCCAGATAACCTACCACAACCTTGCGGGAGACGCATGAAAACATCCTCTTCAAGTTCAGACTGCACAAATGCCTGCTGAATATCGAAATGGCACAAGTCAAGATTCTGCTCACATGCCAATGCTGCCAACAAACGCACAATAGACACGGATACGGTGGGAGCAAACAATTCTCCAAAATCAATCGAAGCCCTCTGCATGTCCCCTCGCGCTACAAGTCGTGCCTTGAATTTCGTCGGCCATCCGTACTCGTCTGCCTTACAGTTGAATACCCACTTGGCGTTGATGAAGTTTTCTACTGGTTGCTACACCGGACTANTCCATCCTCCATCAATCGAAAAACACATGCATCCGCCAAACATTGCACAAATCCTAAAAGTAACAAACACCTCGTCAGGTGCGCATGCCATTGTCGTGATGCCTGCTTCAAACCGTACAGACTCTTGCATAGTTTCACGATCAGTCCAGATAACCTACCACAACCTTGCGGGAGACGCATGAAAACATCCTCTTCAAGCTCAGACTGCACAAATGCCTAGTGAATATCGAAATGGCATAAGTCAAGGGTCTGCTCACATGCCAATGCTGCCAACAAACGCACACTAGACACGGATACGGTGGGTGCAAACAATTCTCCAAAATCAATCGAAGCCCTCTGCATGTCCCCTCGCGCTACAAGTCGTGCCTTGAATTTCGTCGGCCATCCGTACTCGTCTGCCTTACAGTTGAATACCCACTTGGCGTTGATGAAGTTTTCTACTGGTAAGGACTAAAAGTACCTGCATCCAGCAGACCGAAAAACTCCCAACCGACTGCATCATCCCACAACTCTGAATGTTGAGACCGCATGGCCTCCTTGAACGTNAAAGCATGGGAAAGGGAGGGGGGACCTACATCTTGCTTCACACGGCACTCGGCAACGAAGTTTTTGAGCGCGTCCAACTCATCTTGCATCACAGCGAACGCAACGGGGGGCTTCACGGACTCACACACGCCTAATGGGTCGGGATAAAAGTCACCCGGTGGGACCAGGTCTTCTCCGGTCATCAAGCCTACATCCAAGAACATAC